AACGGCCCTCGGCCTCAGCGTGATTCCACATCACAACGGCCCTCGGCCTCAACATCAGAACAGCCCTCGGTCTCAAAATCAACAACGGCCCTCGGCCTCAACATAAGGACGGCCCTCGGCCTTAACATCAACAACGGCCCTCGGCCTCAGCGTGAGGACATCACAATGGCCCTCGGCCTCAACATCAGACGGCCCTCAGCCTCAACATGACTCTATGTCATAACGGTTTTGGCCTTAACGTGATCTCACATCACCAACGGCCCTCGGCCTCAGCGTGATTCCACATCACAACGGCCCTCGGCCTCAACATCAGAACAGCCCTCGGTCTCAAAATCAACAACGGCCCTCGGCCTCAACATAAGGACGGCCCTCGGCCTCAACATCACCAACGGCCCTCGGCCTCAACATCAGACGGCCCTCGGCCTCAACATCACCAACGGCCCTCGGCCTCAACATCAGACGGCCCTCGGCCTCAACATGACCCTATGTCATAATGGTTTTGGCCTTAGCGTGATCTCACATCACCAACGGCCCTCGGCCTCAGCATGATTCCACATCACAACGGCCCTCGGCCTTCATCCCTCCGACATCTTTATTTGATGTCGGGGGCTATCATACAGGCCCATCGTCCTCCATCCCTCCGGCATCTTTATTTGATGTCGGGGGCAATCACACAGGTCCCTCGGCCTTCATCCCTCCGGCATCTTTATTTGATGTCGGGGGCTATCATACAGGCCCATCGGCCTTCATCCCTCCGACATCTTTATTTGATGTCGAGGGCAGTCACACAGGTCCCTCGGCCTTCATCCCTCTGTCATCTTTATTTGATGCCAGGGGCTGTCATACAGGCCCCTCAGCCTAGCTTTCATCCCTTCGACATCTTTATTTGATGCCATGGGCTATCATACAGGTCATCGGCCTTCACCCCTCCGGCATATTTATTTGATGTCGGGGGCAATCACACAGGCCCCTCGGTCTCCATCCCTCCGGCATCTGTATTTGATGCCAGGGGCTCTCACACAGGCCCACCTGGCCTTGCACCCCTCCGTCACCTTTATTTGATAACGGGGGGTCCTTACAAGCTCCTCAGCTTTTTCATGCAGGATCTAAGGCTGGTCTTCGATATCCCCTCAACAGACGGACACAACCACCGCTCAAAAATCTAGGCCGAAGGGTGCATTCCTTTTGCTTCATTCTGGGGGCATCCGGTGTACTCTTTTTCCCTCATTAGGATTTTTTTCCCATAGGGTTTTTTCCTAATGAGGTTTTTAACGAGGCATCTCCCCATTTTGGAACAAAAGGCGTCACCCCTCGGCGGCTCCTGCTGAAGGCATGCATCACTCTACTCCTGTTTCCATCGAGAAACTCTCGGCAAAAGGAGTGGGGGACTGGGGGACTCCCCTCGGCAAAACACGCAAATGTTAAAAATTTTCTATTTCTCAGCTACAGAAAGCTGAGGCAAGATCACAACGACAATCTACTCCCCTCGACATGATGCTTTCGGCTTACAGAATGCCTCCGGCCACACAATGCCTTCGGCCACATGATGCCTCCGGCCACATGATGCCTTCGGCCACATGATGCCTTTGGCCACATGATGCCTTCGGCCACATGATGCCTTCGGCCACATGATGCCTCCGGCCACATGATGCCTCCGGCCACATGATGCCTTCGGCCACATGATGCCTCCGGCCACATGATGCCTTCGGCCACACAAAGCCTTCAGTCAACAAATGCCCTCGGCAAAGCACACAAATGCAGATCTCTCATTACTTTACAAACTACAACAAAGAAACACATACGAGCAACACACTTACACTCCCTTCAGGAAGCTCTCAGCCCTCGACATATGGGGGAATTGAGAAAATGAGGCACCCAACAGAACAGGGAAGCCTTTGGGGAAATCACCACAGCTACTCCTTTTCCCTCAAGTACCTTTCGGCAAAAGGAGTGGGGGACTCCTGATGGAGTATATGGCCCAGGGACCCCCGGCCCACATACTTCCTCTACTACAATCAGGCCCAACAGGCCCAAACGGGCCAAGCCCAGAAAAATGGAGCTGTAAGTAGCCCACAATACGCAAAGGGGTGCCTTCGGCCCCATGGCCGAAGGCTACCGGTGACAGAATCGAGCTCAGAAACATCACAGGAGATCAAGGCTTGAAAACCAAGCCTTCGGCAACTGCAGCCCTCGGCAGGTAGGAGCCCTCGGTTAGAAGAGGCATCACAGAAGATCAAGGCTTGAAAACCAAGCCTTCGGCACCTGCAGCCCTCGGCAGGTAGGAGCCCTCGGTTAGAAGAGGCATCACAGAAGAACAAGGCATGAAAACCAAGCCTTCGGCACCTACAGCCCTCGGCAGGTAGGAGCCCTCGATTAGAAGAGCCTTCGGCCCAGCACCCTTCAACCGAAGGCATCCACCTCGACAGAATATCCTCTTCACATGCGCCTGGATCACCGTACCAAGTACAAACGTCACATCCAACCACCGCATTTAATGCGGCCACATGCGAGTGCCAGTGCCACCCCGGTTGAGGTGACCCCTCGACCACCAGAAAACTGACACGTGTCCTTATCTGGCATTTATTACTACTATAAATAGCACCCCTTTCCCCCATTGTAAACGATGCTGAATACATATCGAATATACACACTCTCTCTCTTACTTATTTGCTCTGACTTCTCTCTTATTACTCCCCGTAATAACCTCTCGGATAAGCTACCCCCCGGGTACACTATCCATCAACATTGCTTAATAACCTATTAAGACTATGTTTGGCACTCTGAGCTGGAGCTGGAGACTAATGTCTGAAATGAAGGTCATTGTCTGAATTAGAGATTAATGTCTGGAACTGAATATAAAATGTTGAATCTGAATTGTTAGCTGAATGAAGTATATCCGTTTGGCGAAAAGAGCTGAAGGGTGACTGGAAAATGTAAAATTACATTCAAGGGCATAATATATACTCCTATTATTCAAAAATATTTATTATAATGATCACTAATTTTTCACCTAAATAGATCGATGTTTCATTTGTCCGGCTTATTTGATCCTAACTACTTCCGTAATACGAAGTACTAGCATTAGGGCCAACCTTTACTCTTGCATCCTAGTAAGAACGATATCGATCTAACCCTTCGTCAACAAGGTCAGGCATCCATAAATGTGACCCCATCAAGTTCCTAATTAAGAATGGAGGATGCACTGTGTTCCATTGGTTTAGTTTTCAATTATTGACTGAAAAAAGCTATATTTTAGGATTTTCCTATAGTTGATGTGCATCCAACAAAAGACTTCAGAAGAATAGCCGAGTATATATCACTCTTGGATAAAATCTGCACTAGATGATTAGGGTAGAAAATAAATCTAGAGAAAAAGAGATAATAGACAAAGAACCACGTAGAAGAAGAAATTGAAGAAATCGAGTGAAGAATTCTGCAGGGAAGAATCGAGAGATATGAGGCTGCGTGCAGGGATAATTTAGGAATATGAGTTGATGATTCAATTGGCTGATTTGAGACGCTACGTTTGATAACGTTTCTATTCAGATCTTTATTTTCAACTTAAGCTCTGTGTAGGTTGTTATCCAAACACACATACTTTGATAATTATTGGCTGGAGTTGCAAAATTTAAGCCCTTTATTAGCTGAAATGGTGTGCCAAACATAGCCTAAGTACACATACTTTTATCACCCCATTCTTGAGGGCCCCTCAACACCACTCGAACAGTTAATTAGGATGAAGCAAATTGGACTTTAATCACAAATTAAGAAATAACGAGTGGGGTTCCAACTTTGATACTTGCAGAGGCTATATACATTTTTACATAATTTCCTCTCATCACAATTGACGAGATAGAAACACGAGACTTACCCCTTCGCTATCTAACTACTAATTGAGCCTTTGAGCTACGCTCATCGGCACCACTATCAAGAAGTATATGACTATATGATGCAGTGTTACAACTTACAAAGCCATAAAAAGAATAGTATGCTATCGCCCCTCTATCACCCCCAACAAGCAACGGATCCAACAAACCATGACTCACGAGTAAGGATGGATCAAGGCCGATCCGATTCCGGTTCTGGGCCGGGCCCAGGCCCGGGCTTTTTTTCAGAAACTTGGGCCCGGAATCAGCCCGGGTTGATACCGGGTCCGGGCCAAACCGGACCAGGCCGATCCGAGCCGTTCACGTATAATTTTTTTTTTGGCTTTCTTGTTATCCCCCAACCCCCCCTCACCCCCCAAACCTCCCCAAAACACCCCACCCTACCCAAGGAAAAGAAAAAAAATTGAAAAAACAAAAAAAGACCAAGAACCGGCCCGAACCAGCCGGTCCAATTCATATAATTGTGGGCCCGGTCCGCTCAACCTGGGCTAAAGCCCGGAACCGGCCATCCCGGTCCAGTCCGGTCTGGGCCCGTACAGTAACGGGCCAAGCCGGTTCCGGTCTGGTTCGGCCCGGTTGGATCCATTCCTACTCACGACCCACGAGTGCTTGATTTGTGCGGCCACACTACGATTGCTCCCAAGTCCCAAGTCCTAATGACTAGGGTTGTAAGGTGACTGTCATTAGTGACTATAAAGCAATTAAAGCCTTTATTTGGGGTAAGGGCCTGGATATTGATGATCTCATTTGGTTAGGATAAAGTTGATCAGTGATTTCTAACGGCACTTCTGATGAATTTAGTGGTGGCAACTGACGAGGCTCCACGCCTCCAATCTAATGAGTAATGACTATGATGATTGTGAGGCAGCTGCCATTAGTGGCTAGAATGAAGTAGTTTTTCAGACTTGAATTTGTTACTAGTAACTTAAATACTGACAAAGGCGGCAGACGACATTGGATTGTGACTAGCAATTGAACCAGAGGTTTACGAAATTACGGGGAATTGCGGACGGGGAAAATTTGGCAAATTGAAGAAGTTTTTGATATTTTGAATAGGTCAACGAATGTATGATTTTAAAATCACTAACGATCGCAATTCACAAGAATCACAAGTTCACAACCAGATCAATATGATGACAATTTGATATTCAAAACTAGATGATGAGCGAAACTGTTTGGACTAAAACAACTATGGTTGCATGTCATTTTGGACCATTGAAGATATGAGACAATATTTTCTTTCAAACTGGTTGACTCAAATTCAAAAACATTTTCAAGGGAACACTAATATATTTCACGGGCAGCGAAATCTACTTATATCCAATGGGAGGAATAAAATAAAAGCAAACATAAAAAATTCATTGGACTGAATGGTTAGGCAGAGATACATGGTAACAATCATACTAGTAGAAGAAACCAAGAACTTTTCCACCGGCATTCTTTCTCCTGGCTTCCTCGTGATCCATGATTCCAGCAGATGTAGTCAGCACTATGTATCCAAACTGAAATCAGACAAATGAATACCGGATATTTAATCAGCAGTTCACTATGTAAACTGATGTAAAGACCACCAAACTCAAGTATGCCAAATTGGTGCGCATTCCATGTGTAATTTCAGAAATCTAAAAAGAAATGATTTGCCAATGTACAACAATAAAGATAGAATTATCCAAAATGAAGTTATACACTTATACTTGCATTAGTATATTTCCAAGTTTTTTTTGTTCGACTAAATTTATCATATCTAACCAGTTCGAGTCTTTGGGAATTTTGACAATTCCATACTTCATTTATCCCATTTTATTGCAAAATTGCTTTTTGGAACAGATTGAATGGAAACAAATGATATACGTGGTACAAAATATTTTCCTATTACACTCTCAAAGGTCGGCAACATAGTGAAGTGGTGTAAATATGTTTGCATGTCATATAAATATTGGACAAGTATAAAATAGTTGAGTCAAAACGGAAAATAGACACAAGTAACTAAGTATGAGACAAACTAAAATGGAGTAGCACTTCTGGATTTAGATGGGGAGTAAAACAAGTAGCACACTCAATGAAATACTTTGCATGTCCAATCAAACATGAGGTCATAGCAAAGACCCGCTACTCAAGGTGATAGGTTATTAGATTGACACTTGGGATATGCAGGACTCAAGATGTTTTTACTTGTACTGTTTTAAGTCCCAGATCAAACCATACCAATCTTAAACAAACCAAACCAGACCAAACTTAAACAAACTAAACCAAACCAAACTTAAACAAACCAGACTTAAACAAACCAAACCAGACCAGACTTACATAGTTATAAAATACAAATAGACCAGACATTTATCAGACCAGACCAAAATTACAGTCCAAGTAAAAACAACATGACTCCTTCAAAGAGACCCTCAACTCTCAAGTGTTCATCTAACAAGACATTCACTTTGTGACAATTGCAACTACTCAGGTCTTGCAAATATTTTGTGAATTACCCTAGATTCATTGTGGACTGCCTCTATAATGTATATACCTTAATCTAACAACTGAGAAAGAATAACACAAATATAATTTGATGAAAACATCATTGGAATCCAATAATTTGATGACACAAATATTCATCAAGACTAGATAAATCATGATTTTTGGTTACTTAATCTTTCAAATTACTTTTAATAAGCTATTTACTAAATTTATTATAAATTCATGAAAGAAATTTTATTGAAAATTAACACAAAAAATTATAAAATTTAAAGATTTAAAATTTGACTCTGTCAAAAATGATAATTTTCAACTCATAGGTTATTGATTGACAGAAGAAAACTGCAAATTTGAAATCTAAGTAATTGAATATAATATAAATCGATCACAAAAACCAACTTGGTCACTTAGTGATTGTGATATAAACAATTGTGCAAAAAATAGCAACATTAATGGTTGAAAGATCACAACTTTACACCACTTGTTATGACATAAAGAGAAGACTGATCAATCTAAATCAAGATAGTTTCAGGTAAAAATAATAATCAGGGGATTTTAGAATACCTGTCTTGATGGAAGTAACCTAGCAGTCCAGCTCTCAATATCCTTAACACCAACATCAAAACGAGGACTAATCACGCCACACTTGTTTAACCTTCCATTCAATTCAACCACAATTTTACCAGATCTGTGATCATCTACATACTCGAACTCTCCAATGTATCCTACAAGGAAAACAAGAGTGATATAAGTATTCATCATCCACCAAAAAACAAAGCATCACAAAATCAAACAAGCATACCATGCTTTTGCATCACTAGAAGAAACTTAATAATGACTTTTGAGGAAGGCCTAATCATGACCTGTCGCTTCCCCCTCTTTTCAGCATTGTACATGCTCTTAAGAGCATCATTCAGCACGCTGACTCTCACCATCTTTAAGCAATGGCGCTATATTAGAATTAGATCCATTACAGAAAGAACTTTTTGTTAGTAACAGGGGAAAATGCGGATTTTAGATGCAAAAGTTTTAAGTTGTATGAAAAATAAAGATAAATAATTCAATTAAAATAAAAAGGTGTGAATGATTGGAACTGCTTGCAGTAAGAAATGTCTGCTTCGCAACATAAACCCTAAACCAAATGCAGGAAGCGGACATCATGTAAAAAACACAGATTCGGAGAGAAACAAAGCAACGATTTGTAAACAAAGCATAAAAGTTTGAAGAAAATCAACGAACGGAACTTTGACTACTTTTAGATGATACCTTAGACGGCAACTGCGGACGAGAGGAAGGATATGCTGCAGGCAATCTCAGACACGGGAGTTCGGCTGAGAGTTTAAGGAAGCCGATTCGGACCTTTTCTTAGGGTTCTACTCGCCTCATAACTAGTCATGGACTTACATTAAAGTGGGCTAACTAACGAATAATAAGTTATTGAAAACAAGATACTTTTCTCTCCCCGTCCAAAAAGGGATAGAGTTGTATTTGTACCCTATCGATAACATTTTTGCATGTATCAAATCAGAAATTTTGACACTTTTGATCGTATGACTATATACTAAGTATCACTTCTGATCTTATTCTTTTAAAAGTCTCATATTTGGTGTAGGACTATCATATTTTGGACACTTTTAGTCCTTCGGTCATTTATCCGTCCAAACCCATCGGTGAATCGATATGACCGGAGGACTAAAAGTGTCCAAATATGATAGTCCTGCACCAAATATGAGACTTTTAAAAGAATAGGATCAAAAGTGAGACTTAGTATATAGTCATAGGATCAAAAGTGTCAAAATTTCTATCAAATCAATTTCAAAGTTCAAACTGATCATAACCTATTCACATTTTTTACTTATTTTCGGTTATCGCGTATCGCACCGTTCGATTTTTTAACTTATTATTGAAGAAATAGCTTATATTAGAAACAAACGAGTCAAGATGACATTCATAGTCCAAGACTTATTTCTCCCGCTAATCAAAAGATACCAAAAGCTCATCGACCCCCTCATGTCATGTTCGGACATAGAATAGTCCACCTCGCGAAAAGCAAGATTAATCGCTGAAACAGTGAGAGCAAAGAGACTATTAGCGGCTGTGTCAGCATGATTGCCTCCATCTTGAAAACCCCTCTCAAAATCCACCAACCCTCAAAACATACCCCCTTATTGTATGCAAAACACTGTCCTAACTAAGAAATAGAAAATAACTAAAGTAAAATCTCAGGTTGTGGAGTTCGCATGTTTCCATCCCTCCCGATTCCTCCCTTTCATCATTCAATTGCATGACAGACGAGCACTCTGGCCCGTCTCCTCCCCATTTTTGGTGTTTTCGTCTCCACCTCAATATCCTTGTGTGTTGACCCTTCTTCCCCGTCCTCGACTCATTGACGCTTCTGTTTGAATTTATCTCCCACGTGAGTCTGCTCTTTCCTCAGTTGCAGCCCTCCCTGTTCATCCAAAATTGACATCCTCATCCCACCCTCATCTTCTTTCCTTATCATTTACCAACCGGGACCAGCCATTTATTCCTCCCACACATTTGTGTGCCCTTTTGAGGCTCTCAATTCAAGACAAAAAAGTAACCCTCCACTCTTGCCCGTACCTTCAAAATAGCACGGGTAGTACCTTTTAGTATGACCATAATGTCGCAGACAAAACAAAAATTAGGCAGTTTTTCATACCTAAATTTGAATTTTCCCCTTCGTCCGATTGAAGGAATAACTTCCTTTTCAGTGGCTTATTCAAATAAATACTAACCCTTATCCTCATATAAGGGTTCCATTTGACAGAAAACTTGTATTCATCCACCTTAATAAATCTCCGCACAAAATTCCCAATTTTTATGGCATTTTTTTCAGAAAAAAATCCGACTTTAATATCATGAACCCGCAACCAAAAAACCACCTTATTCAGCGGCACAACCATAGGCAAGTCTCCTTTCTTTAGCTTAGCAACGACAATAAGATTCTAATTGAAAGTCCATGGTCCTTCCTCTAAAACTCGTAGCATATCATTTTCACTGTAGAATTGGAACATGTACCTTCGTGCACTTATCTCAGTAATAGTAACACCTCTAACAGGTTTCCACACATTTTCCATAGTATCACATAAAAATGACAAGTGTACCGATTTTTCAGAATTGATTGTCCCTACCAGAGACATCACCACCTCTTCGATCCCTGGAACCGTGGCCTCCACCTGTAAAAATTTGTCTCCTTCTTTCATCTCCATTCTGCCATGCGCATTTGCAAGTCTCTCAATCTCTCCATAATCAGTCACGTTTGTCATCGTCTTTTTACCTACTCTTCTTCGTGTTGTCTGTCAACCGAATCCAAAGATACCAAAGGCTTCCCCCTTTGCACGCTCAAAGGTTGCTGTCCTGCGCAAACGCCTTGCACCCTTGATGACGATGCAGTGTTTGAGCGTCGCCTACACCTCGATGCGTAACAAAACGTCGAGCGATTGGGAAATCGCCGACCCCAAGCTAATCGCAGACCAACCCTAGTTGCGGCAATCGTAATAATTTACTTTTATTATCAATATTAGTACTTTTATTTTATTAATTTATGTGTTTTATTTTTTATAGGTTTTTGTTTTCTATTAGTTTGATGTAACTAGCTGTTGGATATACTCAATTATCTATTCTAACTAGACATTTACAAAATATCAAGAACATACACAATTTACAGTTTAGTTATTAGTATGTGTACTTGAGAAGATAAAGCTAAAACAATATTCATGTTTAAGGATAAAATGTATAATACATTATTGGATGGTAAAATAATTTACTGTTTACCATCCATTTAGAGTCCTGATGTACATTTACTTATAAAATGTATTACAAAATGTATTATGGATAGTAACTCTTTTCTATTTAGAGTCTTGATGTACATTTACTTTTAAAAATTCAGTAAAATAATTCAGTTTACCATCCATGATTGTTTATACATTTTTCAAAAACTAATGGATGGTAAACTCGAACGAAATGTCTAGCCGCTCAAAACTATTTACAATGCTTATAAAACTATTATGCCTTATAAGTTCGTTACTTATTAAATAATCATTAAATTTAATAAATTAGTTACTTAAAGTCATAATCTGTTTAGAACTACTTTTGTAGTATTGTATCACTCTTGACTTCCACCCACATCAAAACTCTAAATAGAAAAGAGTATTGTGGCGGCTCATCAAACTCACAGTTATAGTAATACGAAATGTCAACTAATCTCAAGTAATATATCTCTACTTCTACTCAAATAGGCAATTGTTATTTCTATTTAGGGGAAAAGTACAAATATACCAATGTAGTATGAGTGCGAGAATAAACATATTCATGTTCTATTTTTTGGAACAAATATACCTCTAAAATTTATGTGGATGTTCGTACGTATATCCTTAAACTTTTAAAAGGTGTGAAAGTATCCCCTCATGTTCCAATAAATGAGCAAATTTACTCTTATTGATTTAAATAAACCAAATAAAGTTTAAAATTAAAATACTAAAAATAAATTATAAGTTCGGAATTGAAAAAAAAAATAAGATTTAAAAATAAAGATTTATTTTTATGTTAAAATATTAATTCTTTAATTTTAAATTGCAAAATTATTATTTTTCCGTTGCAAATGAATCACTTAATTCATTAATATTAATTATTATTTTAAACACATTGTTACATTTTTTGAAATAACATTTTATAATGATAAATTCAGAAATTTTTGGTGTTTTTTTGGTGTTTTTTGAAATTTATTTTATCTATTTCTAACAACAATATAATTGTGAATCAGGGTTGGTACCTCACATTTGTGTCAACACAATTTGTGCATAAGATGTTGTACATTGTTCTTAAAAAGTGGAACCTTATTTTTTCATTTTCCTTCTTTACCCTTACGTTCCGTCAAATGTTTAAACACTTGTTAACTCACTCGGTCTTCGATTGACAAAAAAATAAGAAAAATTGAAAATAATAATCCCAATTATTATCAAAATTATTATCTGTCCGCTATTAATAATTTCAACTATCGATTATTTTTGGGTGGTCCCAAGTATAGGTACCATTTTCCAAAAATAGTCTCTAACCTGCTACAACCTTGTATAGCAGGTCAAATTTAAATGCGAACTATTCATAAGCTATAAATAATCCCAACTATAGTTGATCTTCTTTTATTAATCCCAATTATCAACTCTCAAAGTTAGAGAAATATAATTTTTTTATAAATTTCCAAATTAAATATTTTTAAACATGTAAAAATTATGATGAAAATTATCAAGAACTAAGATGTGACTATAATTTTTATGATTGAAAAATTTATTCTTGTTTTTTCATGAAAATATATTTATTTAATTTTTATGCTATGTTATTTCTAAAAAACTAAATTCTCTATTTTATCCATTTCAGTATTTGTAATTTCTTTCCATTTTCATTATTTTATACGGAGTATGATAGTATAAATTATAGGTTATCACGTATACATGAAAATAGCATACCAATCACGGACGAGGAGATTATTTCATAAATGCAACGGCTCACTCAAATCATGTGTGATCAATGTAAGTAGGAATATTTCAAGCTACTTAAATTTATTACCAAAGAAAACAAGTTGTGGCCAACTCTTAAAACGGCAGAATATTATTCTCAATATATGCAACGGATCAAATATGGAATATATTTCAAACAATGAATAACCGACTCACTAGATTGAAAGAGTAAATTCTCCTGATAGAGAAGCTCCGCCTTCTCTCTTATTCTTTGAAGTCGTTCTTACGCCCGACGCCTGAGTGGCAGCGATGCCGCCGGTGGAGGGTCACGAACCGGCAACCCATATTCGTTCAACCTACGCTACGGCGGTAGCGGATCATATTCATGGTCGTCGCGTACATCATCAACCTTATCTCTTCTCTGACGTTGACTTTATCGATCTCCTAGCCAAGTTGCCTGGAAGATATAAAGGATTCCCAGCGGTGACGTTCTCTGAAAACGAAGTCCAGATTATCTCTTCCAACTTCCGTTATGCTCTTGTTGGGACTTTCCCAAAACGACGTCCAGGTTATCATATTCATGCTCCTTACTTCTTAATCCATTAACGACTATATCTAACGAGATATCGTCTCTACCATACTTTTTGGCAGACTTGACGTCATTGTAAGAGTCAGGGATGTCATTAAGTAACACTATGGGTATGTAGTCATCTATGTGTTTATCACCGGCTTGCTTAATGTTCTGAATAAGCTTGTTAAACACATCTAGGTTCTCATCTATGTCTTTAGTCAGGTCAAGCCTAAATCTAAAGAACTTCTCAAGCAAAAACAATTTACCAGGCAAAGAAGTATCGGTATACAACTTATCTAACTCTTCCCATAACTCTTTTGCAGAATCTATAATACTCACCTTCATGAGCACTGAATCAGAAAGGTTTAGGTATATAGAGGAACAAGCATTTTCATTCATTTCAACGCGTTTTGCAGCATCCTCAGAGTCTAAATAGAGA